CGACAGGAATGTCTGATCACCATTCATATTTTCTCATTATTTTTGTGTTTTCTATCAATTTTTTGTGCGTATTTTTGTATTTTCATTTAGTTTAATTACCTACTTATATAGTAGTATTCAGTAGTATAAATTATAGATGTAATAATCTTTTTATTAAAATACCATTTCGATGTGAGTCATGGTTAATAAATTCACTTGGTGTTATTTTACGTGTATCTCCCCATTGTTATTTAGGACAGCAAATGATCAGTCTCTCATTAGCATATGGTCATCCTGTCTGGATTGATTCAACATAGACTTAGGTCATAAGCTTTTTTTTAATGTTTGAAGCGAACGATTCTGAGTCCGAGTTCCAGAGTGAACATCAACTAGTCTGGGATGTAGGTACATCCAGCTGACTAGTCCTAAATGGAACGAAACGTACGGTCTAGATTTCAGTGGTAGCCATTATCCATCTTTCATTTAAAAAACATCATGGTTAGTAAGTTATGCAATGATAAATGTGAAATAACAAAAAAATAAAGAAAGAAAACTGAAGTTCTCGGTTTTCTTTAATAAATACAATCAAGCTGTGTAATCTTTTCTAGCGTTTTGCAAGTTTTTCGTTAAGTAATACAATTTTAGATGTTTGAAATAAATAATTGTGGGTAATGTCATTGACCTATTGCCCTATTAGTTAACTGAAATTAATGTCTTAGTTTAAACCGCGAACTGATCTTAGTCAGATCAACACTGAAAAATAGTAGATCATTGTTTCATCCTAGTATGGGACGCCTGAGCAGTATACATCCACTATTATATCACAGATGATCGAGTTCAGCAACTTCGAATGCCTGACTCCTGGATCATTGATTTGGCGTCCTATATATTGACAGTAACCATATGACTTCAAGATTTATTTCCCAGTATTCAGGTGAGAATCCATGACCAGTGGATTTCAACCATATTGGATGTGAAAGAATCACCTATTTCAGGCATTTGTAGATGGTCGCACAATATCTTGGAGTGATTGAGGTTAGATATATACACCATTGGATTTTCTCTCAGTAGTCTAGAGGTTAAGGTTTACACACTAGAGTGAAGTTCCTAAACCTGATCTCCTGTGATGAAGTCGTGAATGTATACTCCTTAGGACTACTATCCTAGCACGAAATAATTATCCAATGATTACTTACCAGTAATATTTCTCAGATCTTGTCTATTAAAGTCATACAATCACGTGAAGGGAGTATTGAAAAAGACGATGCTATTCTATTACATAATCATATAGATTAATTTCTGGTTCTAACATTCTTTGAATTTAAAACAGAGATAGCAGTGATAAGTTTGTGATATGATCGAAAGCAAAATCAATTTTCGATTGATTTACTCATTACTTCCCTTCTAATTCAATATGAGGATCATTCAGTGTAGTATTTGATTTGTTTTCTCAGTGTGATATTCTCTTCTGTATCATATACGATATTCTTATATTCCATTGACATGAACTATGCTCACTCAGTAAGTGATTTGTTATAACTCTGAGTATGTGATCTAATCCTAATTATTAATCAAAATGGATGTACAATCAATATATAAACCAGAGTATTTTAGACTATTTTGATTCGTCGTTCGTCATAGTGTTTTGGGGCTAATAAATCTTTACTTATACCAGTCTTGTGTGTTCTTACTTCCTCACCGTGGGAATTGCTGAGGTCCCTCATTCCGGGTATAAGTGATTGGCGTTTTTCCCGGCACAACAATTGCAACGACCGAATATATAACAGTAACAAACATTCTATTCCATGAAATGTTCTAATAATTAAACAAATATTCCATATGTAAGGAGAACTGGAAAAACAAGTGACACAATGAAACATGTAGGTTTAATAATGTGTACTTGTTACTAGATGGGTAAATGTATGTTAAATAACAATAACAATGATTATTAAGCTTAAATCTTAAAGTAAATCAATTAAAGTTAAACTGATGGTTATTCATTTACAGGCAGATTGGATTTTTATGGATTCAATCTCTGGTTTACATAACTGAAGAAACGTATATTGTCATGTACCACATCTACTACCTGTGACATCCCAAATCAGAATTATCTGCTCCTGATAAAACATATAAATAACGATAATCTACCATAATTACTTAGTTCTTTAGTGTTAAATATATGTGATATACCGTGTACAATTTGATCACTCGAATGTAGGAACTTTCCAAGTTGAAAATGAGAGGACAGAAGATGAGTGAGAAGGAATACTATTCCAAACAGTGTCAAATATGATACAAAACTCCCAGGTATTTATTGTTTATAGTATAAGCGAAATCATCATTATAGTTATCCAATCCGCATACAGTGGGTTTTAGCATTTCTCTAATAGGTAAGCTACACGTCGAGATTCTGGAATGTTCTTCTAGAAGATCGTAAAATGTTTTTGACTTTTCTTGAGCTTCTTAGAGCTTCCTCGAATTCATTAGTGGGCCGTCCTCACAGTGGTGCATATTGATATAAAGTGAAATAGTACAAGTACGGATAAGAAAGTAACTACAACAAACCCATATTGATTCTAATTAGATTCAAACAATAAAAACAGACCTGTTTAAAATATAACTAAGGCAGTTGTATTATTAATTTGAATAAGCTTCAGTTAGTGGTCTTCCATTTTCATGAAATTCCCCAAAACATATTTCTCACGAACCACTGTCACTAGGTCCAAAAGGATTGATGAATAGCCATAACCACTAGTATTATACTCAGCTTTAAAAAGCATTTTATTTTAGTTCCACCATAAGGAATCGGAACATTAACGTTCGATAATTGTTTTCTAGTTGAAGTCATATAAATTTCATCAATAATGGTCAATCTATGAAAACAATTGTCTACGTAAGATAGTGACAGTTGTTAGTGCATGGCCGTTCTTAGTTGGTGGAGCGATTTGTCTGGTTAATTCCGATAACGAACGAGACTTTAACCTGTTAAATGGACAAGCGGCACACTTAAGTCGCACGAAATTGAGCAATAACAGGTCTGTGATGCCCTTAGATGTCCGGGGCCACACGTGCGCTACAATGACGGTGCCAGCGAGTCTGGAAACCTGGCCCGAAAGGGTTGGGCAAACTGTTTCATCACCGTCGTGACTGGGATCGGGGCTTGCAATTATTCCCCGTGAACGAGGAATTCCTGGTAAGTACAAGTCATAAGCTTGCGCTGATTACGTCCCCTTGTACACACCGCCCGTCACTACTACCGATTGAATGGTTTAGTGAGGTCGTTGGATTGGTGTCGTTGTAGTGGCGTTGCCGCTCGACTGATGCTGAGAAGATGACCTAATTTGACTATTTAGAGGAAGTAAAAGTCGTAACAAGGTTTCCGTAGGTGAACCTGCGGAAGGATCATTAACATAACCCAGTAACAGTAACAGCCTATTTCGGGAAAGAACAAACAAATTTCCAGGTAAAGAGGAAATTAGGAAAAGATCTTGGAAGTGGATAGGAAATACATTGAGGAATTCACCAAACTACATCATGAAGTAAGTGCTAACTTGGATTCCTGAAGTGAGACGGAAAAGAAGAAAACTAAAGAACACATTGAACCGAAAATTGGATGCAGACATGAAAAAGATGAATAGCAACTGAAAAAGGATTGTCCAGGACAAGGCTCGATGGAGAATATTGGTGGGTTGCCTATGGTCTTCTATAGTCTTAAAAAAGTAAGTGGAAAATCTTGAATCCTGAAACTGAGTAGAGAGGTTGTCTCTAGTGGAGCTCATTGACACGAGAGATGAGGCAGTTAATGACTGTGTGCTAGTGATTTCAGATAGTAATCGAACGGTATCAAAAAAAGGTCAAAGGTTGTAAATGTAGATTATTGGAATAATCTAAAATGTTTTACAGTCAATGCAAAATTCAAAAGACCGTAAACATAGTGCAGTTTTAGGTTGTCACTGCGTACTGCTGTTCAGTCATTCACGGAAACCTTCAGCTTTACTCTATATGGACAGGGTTGATTAGCAAAAGTAAAAAAATTAGTTTACTTGGAAGTCTAATATCAAAAAAAATATATTATTTAGCTTAATTAATTGAATCTATTGAGACACGTTAGTAGCAAATGAGAAAATAGGTTTTGTTACGGTAGGAATGTGAATTTGTGTTTGTTGGCATATATGCATCATGAGAGGATTGCTTCAATTCAATCGTTTTGTTACAAAATGTTTTCAGAATAGATAAATTGTAACTAGTGGGTTTAATGCTCATAGAAGGTTTCAAACATAATTCATTTTCACAAGTTGAAATCATTAGTCCATTGAAGCTAGACCACCATGGGGTTGTGGAAATTAATGTTTTTTTATTGAGCTCATAAACCAATTGATTTTAGACCATCGGTGAAACCTAGAAGCACCGGACGGCCGTTTCGTTCTAGTATGAGACTTTTCAGTGGTAGAGAGCATCCACGATCCCACTCGGGCGATTCGAACCCAGAGCATTTTGTCTTGCTCGCAAACTCTTTGCCTCTAGAACACTCAGTCGACATCCAACAGTGTCAATATCTAACCTCAACAAATCCACGAAATTGCGTAACAATCTTTCATTATACTGACGTAGATACCTGTAACCACCTGACATGGATTAACTCCTCCGGTCACGGCTTCTCAATGGAACTCCGAGAATTCCCTCGTGAAGCTAGTCACTAGCGAGCACATGGTAATTATCAGTATAGGGTTATGGAAATTATTACGTTTTTGATTGAGATCATGAACCAATTGATGTTAGTCCATCATTGAAACCCTGAAAGCACTAGACAATACCAAAGTCTCTGGGTTCAAATCCCGCTAGCAGAATCGTGAATGCGCACTGCTGAAGAGTCCCACAATAGGACAAAACGGCCGTTCAATGTTTCCAGTTATTCAATGGTAGTCTAACATCAATCAATCCATGATCTCAATCAAAGAAAACTCAATAATCTCCATAACCCTATACGGATTTTTAAGAAAAAAAATCAATTATTAATCAATAATATATTTCATTATATAATCTGAATTTTTTTTAATAATCTTGGTATTGATTTATTGATTTATTGTTCAATGAATAATGATATAGACATAAGTGAATCATGTGTACACTTTTTTAAAAAGAGAGAAAAAAATAAAACAAAAGAAAATCAAAACAAAAAAATCATCGAATAGAAGGATGAATGGAGAGAATCAAAAAACAAAAGTTAATAAGAGTGAGAGAAAGAGAGAGGGAGGGAGGGAGATCTGGAACAACCCGTTTCTTTTTAGATTTAAATGTTTACAAATTTGTTTATGTCAAGAAAAACAAAAAGATAAAAGAAGGCAACAACGACAACAACAAAAGAAGAAGAATGAAAGAAAGAAAAAGTGGAAGTTTTGTCTTTCTCTTTTTTTTTCATTAAAACGAATTATTTTCTTCTTCTTCTTCTTTTATTTTTTCTCTTATGTAAGTAAACATAATGAAGAAAGAATGAAGAAAAAAAGAACAAGAGAAAAAAATGTATGATTATTGAATTTTTTTTTCAAAGAAAATAATAAATTATTCAATTCATGTCATTATGATTTGAATCAATAAGGCAACAGATAATCAAAGAGATAGACAATTAGTGATTAATTGATTGACTGGGTGGAGGAATGAGTAAGTGGGTAGGTGGATGGATGGTTGATTGAATATGTGAGATGAATAAAAAGGGGGTTTCATATTTTTGAAGAAATTTAAATAGAGGAATATAAAATAGTGATTCATATTTCACATAAATCTTATTTCAATTCAATTTAATATCTGTGCATAAAACTATAATCGTTGTGTTTTTTTTGCAAATTACTATTAATGGTTATGAAATAAGAAATATACATGAAAGGGGGGGTGGGGCGGAATCATAATTGTGTATATCAAAAAAAAGAAAGGAAAAAAAGAAGAGAAACTAAGAAAGAACCACTTATGATGAAACGATAAAACTGAATGGATCATCTCACTTCAACGATAATCATTAAAGAAAAATGACTATACATCCGATGATTATGTAATAGAGTATTATTGCAATGACGTAATCACTAAAAATGTTGGCAATCTATTTGACTATGAAAATGAAAAAAAACAACTTAGTGACTAAAATCAAACATTCAATGATCATTTAATTATTTACATCAGTATCTACAACATGATGAAGTAAATTCTGTCATGAATATAATATTACGCAACAACAAAAAATAATGATCTTTTCTGTTTGTTTATTTTTATTGTTGTTGCTGAAAGTGATCATATTTATTTGAAAAAAAGTTAGATCATAGTACTTAATAGTATTCACGATGATCATTGTTGTCATAGTAACAATCATATTAACAACAACAACTACAAAAAAACATTGATCGATGTTGTGTTTCTTTTCTTCTTTTTATATTTTTTAAGTTTTCATAACATCATCATCTAACTGATATACGTTTCATGTGAATGAAGGAAGTTGAGTGTAGAGATAAGAGAATCAAGAAAAGAATCAATTCATTTTATACAATCATATCATTGGAACAAAAATAAGTGAAAGTAAGAAACAAAAAAAGAAAGAGGCCTTAGATACTAATCCACCGCCACCACCACCACCACGGCCACTGCCACCAACACCACAAAAATCATTATGAACTATTCCAATGATGTATGTATATGTCACAACTAAAAATTAAATTGAAATCTTCATAATAATAAAAATGTGAGTATATTTAGTAATATAAGTAGTATCTTATTCAATGTTATATTTTGATAATGTGAATGAAATACGTTTTAGAAAATAAAACAAACAAACAAACAAGCTAAGTGATGAGATTTTGACAAACAATATTAGAAATAAATAGAAAACAATTAGTCATAACAATTTCGGATTCTTTTCTTTCACTTTGTCATTGTCTTGAAAAAAAAAGAAATTATTCACAAATAAAAAAAGGAATAAAGAAAAAAAGGGGAGAAAGAAAGAAAATGGTTTATGATAATAGAAAATATGGTTTTGGTTTCTATACAATGGAATAAACTAATCTCTCTCTCTCACTGTCTCACTCTTCCTCTCTCTTTCCCTCTCTCTCTCTCTCACTTTCTCTCGCTAGCTATGAGGACAGAGTTTGTTTGGTTACGAGGCAAGAGAGGGAATGTAGCATTATATAATAATACTTATTATTATTGAGATTGTGGTTGTTTACAAATGTAAATTTGAGCGGTTTTTATATTTCAGCTAAAAAAAACGACAAACTACTGAATAATGGTAGTAGTAGTAGTAGTATTAACAATAGTAATAATGATGTAATAATAATTTATATCAATTTGTTAATGAGATTGAGGTAGTTTTCAATAATAATTCACATAAATGATGAATTCTCTAATGTATAGAAGTAGTATTACGTTTAAAAAATTAATATTCATTCATTGTCTAAAAGAAAGAAATAAGAAATAGTTTATTAATTCAGAAAAAACAATTTTAATTGTTGATATCATGAGTCAGTTGATTATCATAGAAAACCTGGAAGCACTGGATGGCTGTTTCGTCCTATTGTGTAACTTCTTAGTAGTGCTCACCCACGATCCCGCTCATGGGATTCGAGCTTAGGGTCTTGCGTGCAAACGTTTAAGTTTATTACAACTACTAAAGTTAATTGTAACAAGTAACTCATTATTTTTACACTATACAAATAATTTTCATGCATTAATATAGTGAGTAACTTGGTGTTAGCCATGGCATTTTATGATGTGATTAATAAATAAATCAATTAGCCAGTTCGCGGAACCCTAGAAGGTAGCCTTCATCTACCTACATGGTACTGTTCAATAGTTACTGACTTTATAAGTTGATATTACTCTTCGTTATGGCTACGCCAAATTTCTTCTAACCTACTTCTACACTGGCTAACATCATGAGTTATGCTAAGTACTGGTTAGATATGTGTAACATATTCTTTAACTGCGTGAGTCAAAAAAGATTCAAAATCCCATCTTTGCGTAGTACTCTATACCTAACCTCTGCATTACTCACTCAATCGTTCTGCGAAGTAAAAACAACTATGATCAAATTCTTCAGACTACGCATAACTCCTACTTTCAAAGATCATTTTTCCCGCGGATGTAAGGTCGACTTTATAATATAATCACGCGCTTTCATCATAAGTTTGCAATATTTCATGATCCCAAATATTTAAAACTTCAAATTAATACATCAAGGAAGTTTGTAAGTTTTAACCTTTTCTAGTAGTGGTATCCGGAACGTGCGTTTCGTCCTATTTGGTACTTGTCACTTTGATGTACCAACGTCCCAAAGTTGATGCTCACTCGAAGTAAACGGTGCCGGGTTCGAGTCCTGTAGTAAACATTAACTCTGGGATGCGAGTACATCCAGCTGAAGAGCCTCAGGTAGGACGAAACGCCATCTTCTATTCGACTCCAAGCTGCCATCCAACTCTGCTTAAAGTACATCAATCGGAAGATTCAAACAAATAATACAAAATTTATTTCTGTTATTGTTACTATTATTGCTAATACAGTAGGATTTTTATCCATATTGTTCATATTACATGATATAAAGTTACTTGGTTTCATCATGTATGAGATTGTGACAAGTTTGAACCTGGTACAAAATAAGTATTTCATGGCTTCTAAGTTCTCAACGATCCTTAAAATTGTTTTGTTACTTCAAGACGTAAATTCCCTTCAACTAACAAATGTTTACCTTAGAGTTTTGCTATCATATTTAAAATATCGTACTATTATATATGTATACATATCTATTTAAAGTGGATCATATGAGTCTCCGTCTTTCTGCCGCTGTAAGAATACGTTCAACTGCTAACCAGTTGATAATTAGTGGAGTGAGCCTAGTCACAACTAGATAGTCACTGAATAATCAAAGCTATCAACAGCATTGTAAATCGTCTCTGTGATAGGAAAATGTAAGATATCAACATTTATGTAAAACGACTTACTTTATAGGAATCTGTATAACTATGATTTAATTATTTTACGTGACACAGTCACCTCCAAGAGTCGTTTTAGTAGTAATGATAATATCATCATCAGCAGCATTATCTTCTTGTTCCACTTTGACTGAATGTATTTCTGCTTTAATTTTCGGTGTTTCGTTATTTTTAGCGTTATTATTCATGTTTTGTACGTCAATAGCATTAATTGTAGTAACATGTGTTTCACTTTCAGTAGGATTTGTTGTAATTGATGAAGGTGATGATGGCAATGAAGATGAAGTTGTTAAAGGATTTGGACAGTAACATTTTTGTTGTGGTTGAGACAAATGACGATGATGCCGATGATGATGATGGTGATGACGATGTTGTTGATGTTGATGACTACCTTGATGATGGTCTATGGATTGTTCTTGACTAATACATGATGATTCAGGACTAGTTTTATTATTGACAGGTGGTAAAAACTTTGGTGTAGCAGTTAGTACAGTACTTGACGTCGAAGTTTCTGAACTAAACTCGGAGTTCGATGCAAGCTATAGTTTATTGAGATAAACAAAGAATAGAAATAAGATATCCAGAAAGGAAATTTTAATAGTCTACATCAAAGATTGTTTTTGATTAATCTTTGAAAGACATTAGGCACTGAAAAGCATATTCTACCTAGTGATAATCCATGACTTTACTATAGTGAGTCGAATTCGAGACCTTCACTGTTCGAAGAGAATGGTTACCCTTAATCCACAAAAATCGCACCATCTGATGAACGTGTCTAAGTTCATTCATTTCACGATGTTACATAACTGTCTTCCAATAACATTGGTGCGTGATCTTCAGTGCTTCTTAGTTGTCCAACTAAGGTGCAGTCAGCAATGTAAACTATAGCAATTTATACAAGCCTTTACTACTTGGAGAAGAAATTATTACACCAGAATAAAGTTTACAAACACTTATCATGAATTAAATTGCAAGACGTTGATATGAAGCGTAATGGTCTATAGGAAAGAGTCTTGGTTAGAACTCTTTTTAATCGCATCAAAAGATTATATTCAGATAATGAAGAATGCTGTTTGAGTGATGCTCGTCACCTTCAAAAATCCATAGCCAAATATGGGAAAACTGAATCCTAATATAATTCTACCCAGAGCGTAGGATAAATCTCACTGATAATTTTCATTGAGTATAAAGTCAAGATTATCCAGGTAACATCTAATATGTTATCAGTGTTTGAGCCATATATTGTTATTCAACCAACATATAACTCCGCCCGTTTCTTTTCTAGGGTTACTGCTGGTCTCAAACCCGGGTAATGGGGAAGGATTGAGCATATGGTCAACAACCCTATCCGGTAGAGAACAACCTTCCTACAAAGAACGCTAACCAGAAAAAACTATATTTACATATTGAAATAAATTGTGAATACTTACAGTGTGTCCAGATGCAGATCTTCGATGCCTTGTTAATCGAGCTATCAATAAATCTACCACTTTTGGTTGAATTGTATCTAACATTTCCATTGAATCTTCTTTATCAAAGGTAGACTTAGAAGTTGTATTCCGATCATTTTTCTTAGTAGGTGAAGGTGTTATAGAATTAATATTACTTATAGTACTAGTAGTAATAGTAGTAGTATCAGTAGTAGCAACAGAACTATAAGCAGTTGTTGATGTTGTTATTGTCGTGGTTGTTCTATCGGTTACACTTGTCGAAGTTGTAGTCATATTATTATCATCATCATCATTTTTATTGTCATTTACAGTTGTATTAGATAATTTTCGTAGAACAGAACGTAATAAACTTAATGGATTGTTTGCATTAACCAAAACAACTCCATTGATCTCTAATAATTCATCACCAATTTGAAGTCGACCATCCTATGTTAGTATTAGATGACAATAAAAATTAATCCATTAAGTATATACATCAAAAACAAAAATGAAAAACTTATCAATATGAAAATTGTAGTATTTTCACAATTGAATTCACTAATCTATCTAAGCTAGATCGCTATTGAGAACCTGGAAGCTATAGACCACCGTTTCATCCTAGTATGGACTCCTAAGTAGTGACTATATGTGATTCCGCAGGTTCCAGTCGAACCTAAGACCTTCGTTCACGCGCGTGAACGCATAACCTCTAGGTCACTGAGCCCGTATCCAACGACGTCAATGTCTAAAGTTTCAATTCTAATAATGAAATGCATATTGTGTATAACCAATTGCTTAGAATTGAAAATGAATGATAGAAATAAAATTTATTTGTTGGATGGTAATTGCAACTAAGAAACATCGGAATAAGCATTTAAGGTAATAATCACTTGAAGAAAATCAATCAGTTACTTAGTTAGTTATGTGTAATATAGAAGCTGAAACATATATGGACTGGTTCAAGTTACTAAACTGTATTAGCACAAGATGAAATTATTAAGATAAATTCTGAAGTAGTTGAATTATTAATAGTATTATTGCAAGCAAAAGGGATATTATGTTATGGCTGGGGGAGAAAAAACGTCTCCAGTAACCGTTATGATGAGCAATAACCGAGATCTGATATTGATACACAATGTGCTACAAGTTAACCCCCCCACCTGACTACTTCAGCAAAAAAACAAGAGTGGAGAAGAAAGTATATTAGGCCATCGAATAATATGCACAAATACTTATGTATATACACTTCAGAAAGTCATTTCATTTCTTAGCCAATGATATGTATTTGTTCTTTAGGTCATTTCTGATTGTGAACTCGTTTGACCATTTCTGATCGGTTTGTAATATCATATTACCAATCGACATAAGTTGAGCATCCAATGGATGCTTGGGGAGGGGACTGAACAGTTATTTCCCCATAGACGTTTTACCAATGAGCATCATTAATAGCTTTTTAAGGGATCTACTCCATCACCTACGGTCTGAATCGAACACCTGACCCCTAACATCTATATTGAGAATTACCATCTCTTGTCTAACGAAAAGTCATGACCAGTGAATTTAGACTGTTAAGTTGTGAGGTAGTTGAATGTAACAGTAGATGGTCGATCAGTACAGGCTCAGTAGTTTAAAGGTTAATCATTCCGTTAAACTGTTCCGTAAATTTAACTGAGCTCCACCTGGAACTCTTTTAGAGACATTGTCAGTCACGAGCTTAGACAGAAGTAGGGAGAGTTGAGAATGGTGGTAGCAAATCTATCCCACGGAAAAGAACCTTGCTAAAATAACGTTAACCAGAAAAAAAAACAATCTGAATTATTTCCTGGGGATATAAGGGTTTATATTTAGTAGATTTATGACACCTTACGATGTAAGCCGAGAATCTTTGGAAGTCACCAGTCAAATACCCCTTTCTGAAAACCAAAACAATAATGAATATTGGAACATGGAACATCCGGGCAATGTAGGAAACCTAGAAAACTATTCTAATAGAGGTAGAAATAAAAAACACAATTGGGAGGTACTTCGAATAATTGAAATTTTGTTAGGACCCGAGTTATACTCAGTAGATTATTTATTGCTTGATATGATGGTAAGAAAAATCAATTTTCGATTGATTTACTCATTATGAGTTTAATTCAGCATTACTTCCCTTCAAATTCAATGTGATGATCATTCAGTGTAGTATTTGATTTGTTTTCCCAGTATGATATTTCCTTCTGTATAATATGCGAGATATTCTTGTATTCCATTGACATGAACTATGCTCGCAGACTGTGATTTGTTATAAATGAGTATCTGATGTAATCCTAATTATTGATCAAAATGGGTGTAAAATCAATATATAAATGAGTGTATTTTAGACTATTTTGATCATCATCGTCGTCATAGTGTTTTGAGGCTAATAAATCTTCACTTACACCAGTCTTGTGTGTTCATACTTTCGCCTCAGCGTTTTTTTTCGGCACATCAATTGGCGACGACCGAACATAACAATTGCTACTACCATATATAACAAATTTACTGGACGTAGGCTGCATAAGAAGGATTAACTACGGGAGAAGTGTTGATATTTTTAGGTCATGAAGAATAAAATGCCTTACGCACTAAATGGATTACATTTTTCATATAGAATGATCTAAAATGACGTAATCAGAACGTTTACATGAACTAATAATAATTTCAATTTCTGTCGTCTCTACCTTTCAGAAGCGTAAATTTACGCAGACACAAAGATATTTTTTTAAACCCAGAACTAACCACTTAATAGCTGACTATCATCTTATCTATTAAATTGTCAATGAGCAGAAACCTTCCCCATAACACATAGTCATGGCTACTTCCTTAATTATATATTTTAAAAAATGTCAAATTGATTTGAGATTGACAGCATCAATATCGCCCAGAAATAACACAAGTCTTACACATTTCTGTTATACAGTATTATCAATAATATAAGATCATAGTGTAATACACATTCCATGATATGATTTCCTTTATATGTATATAATGCAAATAATAGTAGAATTCATTTGTAAACAAGGGGAAAAAAAGAACGGGGTGGAGGAGGGGAGGGGATGGAAAGGTCTACTTACTTTATGTGCAGCACCACCTTCTATAACACATTTCACTATTACACCACCATATATAGAATCAGCAATATATGATGTATCAGTTAATGTATTAATATGATTTATTTTATCATTATTTTTATTTATATTTGTTTTTAATTTAATTGTATTCTGTGATAATTCATTTAATTTACTTGCTCTTGATGAATTAGATTCACGTACACTAACACCAAGACGCATTTGACGTAAATTTGTTATAGTTAATGGGTTATTACTATTACTATTATTATTACTACTGTTAGTAGTAGTATTAGTAGTAGTATCTAAACAATTTTTAGAATTTTTAAGATAATCTATATTCTCTTCATTGACAGGAATAAGTGGAATATGTAAACGAAGTAGGATCACATCTGGATAAACCTAAAAATTGAAAGAAAAAAAACACAATACGAAATAACAATTAAAATTAAATAATCAATATAGTTGGACAATCATAATAAATAAGGGAACTTATTTTCTTGCTGGAGGGGGGGGATAAGGGGAACTATTGTTTTCATTCAGAGGTAAGTGATTTTGGAATAAATGATATGGAGATTTTGTAGTCTTTTTTGTATTTGTGAAGAAATTCAATTATCAATCTTATGAAGTAAACAAATTCCCCTCTTTGTTTTCTTAATAAGTATAAAATGGTGATCAATAGAATTCAACTATATATGGTATGAGATAGTTATCCAGTGTAGACAATCCAAAAGGATGGTACAGTATTGTGATTTGGACGAAGTTAAACCTGTGAGATCCTGAACAACGTTTCAAGGATCTAAAAGTTAAGTGTTAGTACACTGGATTCAAGATCATGAATTCGATCTTGGGTAGTAGAAGCAATAGTGACTACTGTTGACTAGTCCCATATTAGGATTAAGCAATTATCTAATGCTTACTAGTTTTTCAACATTGATCTAGCTAATAACAGTTCGTGGTTTAACCTATGAAAATATGTAACCATTATACTGGACGTAGATTATTTTGATAAACTCATGTTGGCTAGATTCCGTTCATATATCATAATCCTAATTTTATGATATTTTAGTCTAACATAGACGATATCTCACTTTTTTTCAATAACTTATGACGATCCACTTTGTCGTAAAAACATATTGTCTAAATCAATCCATCAATCTCCTATTCTAAATCTGCTTGCTTACCATAGTAATATTCTGACAGATATATGTATAATAATCCACTGAAAGAACTTTTTTTCTGTTGAATTAATCGAAATTCGAGACTCTAGAAAAGTGCTCAGCCACAACCTAACTGAAATTCGAATCCAGGATATCTCAAACTGGCTAAACTTATAAATAAATATCAATGACAAGGTTATAAATTTTAACCAATGGATATCGACACAGTAGTCAGAAGATTATGCCTCTGGTTAATGAGGTCTGAAAGCTCATTACTTTTTGTTTTAGATTGAGATCATGATTCGATAGATATTAGACCACCATTGAAAACCCGGAAGCACTGGACGGTCGTTTCGCCCTGTTGTGGGGCTCCTCAGCAGTGCGCATCCACGATCCTGTGAGCGGGATTCCGACCCAGGGTCTTCAGTCTCGCACGAGAACGCTTAACCTACTGGATCACTGAGTTGGCATCCAATGGTGTTAATGTCTAACATCGACTAATCCACTAAATTACATGACCATCTTCCACTGTACTGAGGTAGATACCTGTCTCTACCCGACACATATAAGCTCCACTGGTCACGGCTTCTCACTAGAACTCCGAGAATTCCCTCACGAAGCTTTCTTCCACTGAGCACATGTTAATTATTAGCATAAGGTTTGTTTTACACTAATTGTCTAAACAAAGTTGATCTATGTTAAGAAATAATAAAACAGGACAAATGCTGGATAATTTAAAAGACAATGCTTGTCCATGTTTACTGCATTTAAAATAGTTTACAACACTACATTTTAATAAATAAAAACATCAACAACAAAATATGATTCGAATGATCTAAGAAGAACTGTTCATAATCTCTCTAACAGAAACTTAAACAGTCACGAAATCACTCTACTAGAGAAGGGATTAAATTTCAATTTACACAGAAAACCACTTAGCACTCTTGAAATTGCTCCAATTATAGAACCAATGATCGCACAACTACCGGAAAAAGAGTCACATTTACTACGTCAAAAGACATCTCATATTCTGACTAAACAAAAACACATTACTCCAAACATTTCAAAAGAAGAAGTGAAGGCTCTGCATTCACTTAAAAAAGACAAAACGATTATTATCACAAAAGCCGACAAAGGCAACACAACAGTAATCATGAATAAAACAGATTATATTAAAAAAGCTCTTGAACATCTCTCAACCGGACCGTATGAAAAGATCAATCCAAAAACTTCTCTTACGATTAAGAACAAAGTCAAATTACAAACAAATCAACTTCTGAACGAGCTAAAACCATTCATTGGGGTCTCGCTTTGGTTTGCGTTGCATCCCAAATCATGTAATGTCTCACGGTTTTATGGCTTACCAAAAATTCATAAACCAGATATTCCTCTAAGACCTATAGTAGACTTCACAAACACCCCAACATATGCATTATCAAAATATTTAAGCAACATATTAAAACCACTACAACTAAACTTACATAATATAATTAAAGACACATATGACTTTAAATCAAAATTATCCGGATTAATCATCGAGAAGTATGAAATTATAGTAAGCTTTGATGTCGTTTCTTTATACACAAGTGTTCCTATTGATAAATGCTTAGAATTCATTAGTAGTTTACTTGAGAACGACAATACTCTTCCTGACAGATGTCCGTTGAGCATCAGTCTAATCATGAAATCCTTAAAACTGTGCTTAAATTCAACGCTATTTACTTTCAACGGTATGTTATTTAAACAAACTAACGGTGTAGCGATGGGATCCCCCATGTCCCCGATTGTAGCCAACCTTTTTATGGCATACATAGAATCAAATATCTTCGCCCACAACATTATACCACGAATTTGGCTTAGATATGTAGATGATACATTTGTTATTATAAAAAAGACTCATCTAAGATCTTTTTCAAAACGAATAAATACACTTTCATCGCACATCAAATTCACGAATGAAAATGAAAATGTACATGGTGAGCTACCATTCTTGGATTGCTTAGTAAAAAGAAATCCAAATGGAAGTCTAAACCTTTCCATTTACCGAAAACCGACACATTCAAATCGTTATATTAACTTCCATTCAGCACATCCTTTCAGTGCAAAGATCTCTCTAGCCTTAAATCTTTTTAGAAGAGCTAACAAGATCATCACATCAGAGGAAGACAAACAAAAAGAACAAACGAATATAGTTAGCATCTTACAATTTAATAGTTTTCCTATGAAGATTATTAGAAGCATATTAAAACAAAACAGTTTATTACATTCTAATAATGATTCGAATGAAATGCCATGGATTGGTACTGTAGTTCTACCATACCGTCATGGCACAACAGAAGAAATTCAAAGAATCTTAAAACATCACAAAATCAAAGTGTATTACAAAACAACAGACACACTACGTAATACTTTAGTTCGCCTGAAAGACAAAATCCCTTTCATGTCCACACAGAACTGCGTCTACAAATTAGGTTGTATCGATTGTGATGCCTATTATATTGGAGAGTCATCCCGCGAAATCTTGACTAGAGCCAAAGAACATATTAGGTACACAAAGAAACCTCCTAACAATCCTGTAGAATTGAACCAACTTCAAATTAAATCGGCAATAGCAGTTCATGCCATTTTCAACAACCACCAAATCGATTTTAAAAATATCAAAATATTGCAAAAAGGCTTTTCTAACTACAAAGAAAGGAGGGTAGCTGAGGCGTTCCATATAATGCTTAATCCTACTTCTCTAAATAGAAAGGAAGGTCTTACTATACAGCCTACTTGAACCATCTATCCTAACCATTCAGTCTGATCGTATTTACAATTTCACACTATCATATTACAAATTTAAACTCTATCCTTTCTTACCATAAAGGTCACACAAGTTTTCATTCTTAAACAATGCACATATACACACACACACAAATTTACATACATATCACTTATGAATCACCTTGACAGAAATGACATGACATCAACTTGTTCAGACTTGTTTTTGATTGATCCAATATTATTCTTGCATTGTTCCGTTGTACTATTTAAACTTGGATGAATTTTAATTTGGTTATTTGTTCTCTGAAGAAGTGACTTACACTAAGTCACGAAACGTCAGAAAATCCAATTTTCTACTCATTGGGATATTACAAATATATTATTTTTATTTATAACAATGAACCCAATGCTCAATTTATTCGAAATTATCAAATCAAACCTTGGTAATGACACCTACTACATTTTAATAGTTGAGATCATGATCCAATCAAAGCTTAACCACCATGGAAAACTTGAAACCACAGGACGGTCGTTTCATCCCATTGTGTGACTACTTTTCAGTGGGCGGTGTGCATTCATGACCTCACGTCGTGAGTTTCGAAAGCTAAACACTTTTTTTTTAAAACAAAAACTAATTAATATTCAACTCACTGGATAATTTGGATGATAAACACGTTCTAAATTAGTTAATCCATCATAATATAATGTCATTTGTAATGGTGGTGATGAACATTTACGTGTATCAAACCAATTATAATATGTAGATAATTTCCCATAAGGTAAATGATTTGTTATTTGATTCATTGATGTATTTAATAAATTTGAACATTGATAAGTTGAATTTAATAATAAATGACATGTTAAACAATCATTTGTATTTAATTGACATTGATGCACTTGACGACGTACTAATAAATGAACAATACTACCAACTGGTTTAATTCGTAATATAGCTACAATTTGTGCTTGTGATTTACCAATTACATCTAAATTATCAATCTAGAAAAGAAAAAGTGTTAAAATTTAAATAAATAAATTGTAACGCTAGTTACCATGTGATTTATCCATCAATCAAAATATGACTTATACAATGTTAGCACTGTGCCAAATCAATGACGTTCAACCGGTATGAGCAGCTTAGTGTCCTTATTGGTCCTATGTTCACCTAGCCCGTCCACTTGAGTCCAGAACACCAATACCAGCTTCTACTATGCGAGTCGAATCGAATTGAATCATTTATTTCAGACATACTGTGTTTATGTATCAAACAAACAAACCGCAACGCACCATAAAATAGCAAATAACATTTGTACACAATAAGGCCAAAAAATGGCTGTGAACGTGGTAGGCAATAGTCAATAAACTGAACATAGCTTAAGAGCAGTAAGTCGTACAACAATAATATATAGGTTAAAATAAAGCTTGTAACAAGGAGACTATAGTTATATACAGTCTAGTTACTGAATATTTATACCATAAGAATATATAAATAATATTAGTTCATTAATAGGTCTCAGAAGTTACTCATGATTTAATCGTCGCTCGGATAGAACATAAACAAAATTAATGAAAAGAATTAAAGAAATTCATTTTCATGCTTGATGAAGTTTTATTCACTAAGCTAAAGATAATTTAATTGTGAAGTATTCGTTGTTTATTTATGCTGATCATATTGTTCGTAAGCAGAATGATAAACATTCTATTGAGCAAACTATCTAACTTTATCAAAATGATCCATTTGAAATATAAATCTTTTACACTATCTTATTTACAGTTTGTTGTTTATCAGAATAATCAATTAACCCCACCTCCACCCCAATTGATGACATTATCAAAAAGTGTTTAATGAATCAATATATCGATGAAAAATAACCTCAGAAACGAAGAAACAATTTGTTCATTCATATATAATAGAAAGATTCTAAAGCTATTTTGGATTTAACATTTGTGACAAGCCACAACATAGAGAGTTTATTCAATTCTAATGCAAACAGAACGACATAACAGACAAAGAATACAAATGATTAATTATTCATAAAAGTAATTACACTAATGACAATGAATTTTGCAACAGATCAAGTGGATGCTTCGTTCATCCACAGAGAAATAAAGATAAATTAAAATTGGGCTAACATTCATAGACGTAGACAAGTATGCACATGAATTAGATTGAAGAAATTCTGTATTGGGGAAAGTTCAAGAATGTCAGAGTATTTCTAGACTCATGAAATTCCAGATCAATTAACAATCAACAGATAGATCTATATAAACTCAGATTTTAAAGCCATATTCGAGGGATCAACCAGTCATAATTTTGGAGGCTAACTGTCAAATAAACTCAATCTGAAGACAACAACAAATGAAGATAATAAAAGTTTGAAAAGACAGTCATGTACAAACTTATCAGAACGAATTGAAATAACACTTGTGGAACAAATGGAAGGCTGACTTCAACACAATATTGTTTAGAATAACATTGAAAGCTCCACAATAAAATCCGAAAACTAAACATTAAAACGATAAATAATATTATTAAGAGAAAGCTATATTCAGATAGGGATTTTTTGGAGGTTGTAGTAATTTAACAGTTACATTCATGAGTCAATTGAAGCTAGATTACCATAGAAAACTTGGAAATACTGGAAGGCAGGTTCGTCCTATTGTGGGACTCCTCAGTGGCACTGCGCATCCACGTTCCCGTCTCGCGCGCGAACGCTTAGCCTCTAGGCCACTGATGGGTCCCATACTAGGACGAATTGGCCATCCAATGATTCCAGGTTTTCCATGGTAGTCCATCTTTAATTGACTCCTGAATGCAACAACTCAAGTAAACTATATGCTTATATATGTAATTATATTAGATAGAAATAAGGTAAATGGACAATTATTATTTAGATGATAATAATAATAATAATACATAACTTGAAATTCTATAAGAAATTGGATAATAGTTAACACACGCAGAAAGACACTTAAAGATTTATCAGAAGTGTATTAATGAGATTAAAACAGAAATAATTCGTTTTTACATTGTATTATATCTCAGTGAAGTAATATTAGTTTTTAGTGATTTTCTTCATAAAACTCATTTTCAATCGGATATATATAAATAGATAAATGAGTTATTGTCTCATTGATAATCTATCATCGCGGATCGGCAAAGCAAAAGCAGCATATCTACAATTGAAGAACATCTGGAACTCAAAACAACTGTCTGTCAACCAATACTAAAGTCAGAATTTTGAATACAAATGTCAAAACAGTTCTACCGTATAGGGTAGAAATCTGGGGGACGAAGAAAGCCATCCACCAGAAGATACAACAGTTTATTAACAGTTGTCTACACAAAATACTTCAGATCCGTTGGTCAGATACTATCAGTAACAACCTATTGTGGGAGCGAACAAACCAGATCTCAGCAGAAGAAGAAATCAGGAAGAAGTGCTGGAAGTGGATAGGACATACATTAAGGAATGTACCCAACTACGTCACAAGGCAAGTTCTCACATGGAATCTCGCAAGGCCACAGGGGGAGAGGAAGATTAAAGAACAGATTATGCCGAGAAATGGATACAGACATCAGAAGAATGAACAACTGGAAAGGAAGGCCCAGAATGATGATCTAACTTCAGATATAGTGTAATGATTGAAGCTGTTCAACAGAGAAAGTTGAACTTAATTTTTTTTTGTTTTTTGGCAGTCGTGTGCAAGGTTTATGTACAATCTATTCGGAACCGGTGCATTCTGCACGATTTTATTTTTTGTCACCCAGCGACACAGAGATGTTACTACTAGGCTATTGTGCCAGTGACTGACCTACTGTGGGACAGGTGTATTTACTATATATATATATATATATATATATATATATATATATATATATATATATATATATATATATATATATATAGAGCATTCTTATGTGGCCGGAAGCAATGAATATTAGAAGGCCAGGGCAAATTCAAAAACTATAAATTTTTTTATATACAGAGGTTAGTTTTTTTAATGTGTATTACTATGACTTTGACTAGATATGCTAAGATAGAGCTTCTAACTACTTTCGTTAGTCAACAAGATGGAGTGATATTTGGCAATACAATGACGTATTTGTCTGGTTGTACTCGCAATATAACGGATTTCACATGAGCAGCAGAAATGGTGAATACACTTAGAGGCAGAAGAACAAGACAATTTATCTTTATTCGGTAAAATTGACTACTACATTATAAAGCATTTTAGTAGTTTTATTAACTTCAAATTGTAATTTTAAGAATATATAGGCTTTTTTGATATCGCCGATAGTTTCATTATCAGTTTAGCTCCAGACATATGTTTCGTTGGGAAATTTAATGGGTATCCATGCTTACGTAATGTATCATGAATACATCTTAACTCTTGTTCAATATGATTATCAATACAAATAATTTTGGCTCTGTGGATCAAACATCTGATAAAGTTCGTCTTACACTGTAGCAGCATAAATTTCGAAAAATGTGTATATTAGCTTTATAAAGTTGGTTTACAATAAACACTGCCTTTCTAATATCTCAATAGGAATATTTAGTTTCTTTATAAATCATGAAATTTAAACAAACCTGAACGGATTATCAACAACAATTATATTGTCATATTCTTATAGGTTAATTCTAGTGTTTTCAATCTGATTTTTGTAAACAGTCTTTGTTGTTCAGTTGTGGTTGTTTACTTGTATCTTCCCATTGTTATTAAGGACTGCAACTGATAAGTCTCTTGTTGACAAATGTACATCCTGTGCGCGCTACTTCGGTATTACCTGAAGTCATAAGCTTTATAAGCAAAGATGGATAATGACTAGCAGTAGAATCCAGGACGCGCGCTACTTCGTCTCATTTGACACTCGTCAGCTAGATGTCCATGCATTCCAGAGTTGATATTCACTTTGGGACTCGAACCCAGTACCGTTCTCTTTAAACACAGTCGTTTTATCCACTTAGATACTGAGTCTTGATAGCCACCTGATTGTGTGATGAGATGAAGTTTAAATTCACTTGGTGTTATTTGCTTGTATTTTCCCATTGAGTATGGTATTGGGTTCGAGTCCTGAAGTGAACGTTAACTCTAAGATTCAGCTGACGAGTCATAAATACAGAGGAACACTCGTCCTCGATTCTACTACTAACCACTATTCATTATTGCTTTATTATTATTATTATTATTTTTAAATTTTATCAAATAATTAAATCATAATTATTAAATTAAATTAAATTAAATTTACTTGTATTAATCGATCACCAACCCGTAATTGTCCATCTTTTATAGCTGAACCATCAGGTAAAATATTTTTCACATATACAGCAAATAATGTTTCATTCATTGATGAATTCAATGTAGATTTAGGTTGAATTAGTTTTGTGGTTAAACTAAATCCTAAACCACATGAAGCTGTATTGTTGGAATAATCAATAATGTAAAGAAAAGAGAAAGAAGAAAATATAATAAATTACAACAGAAGAATAATAATAATACAATTCATATAAGAGATGATTGAAAATCATTATTCTCATTCGATCAATAAGAATCATACGTATGTTGGTAACTAATTTCGAATGGTAATTTCCTTAAGTTTTAATGAGAAATCATGATTAATGAAGTTCAATTATTATTTAGCTTGTGACAAATACCTTTTGATGACAATGAGTAATGGTTACTCATTATGCTGAATTGACTGGAGTTAGAAATACAATTGGGTGACTGGTCAAAGTTTAAACGTTTCCCCGTTGGTCCTGGGTGTGATCCCCTTTTGTTACAATAGTGAATGTACATTGTTAGAGAGTTTCATAATTGTTAGGTTCGTTAAAGCTTGAATGCTACTACTGATTTGGCTTCTTCGGAACGGAACAAAAGACCAAGGATTCACTGACTCGATAAGCTATTCTGGTCTGTTGTCTCCAACTCAGATAACTCGATCAAGAAGTGTTGGTAAGACATAGAACTGTATTCTACAGGCAATTAGCAGATACCAGGTCCGGTCAGGTCAGGTCAGGTCAATCAGGCACACAAGTCAAGCGTATTTATACAAATATTTATAATCGATATTGTCATGGGTAAATGTTTTTGAACATTAATCAATAAATTCATCAATCGACAGTCATTTAAATATTTAATCGATAAGTTCCTCAATTGACTGCTATTTAATCATTTAATCGATAAGTTCATCAATTGACTGCCATTCAAATATTTAAACATTTAACCCATAAGTTAATCGATAAGATGAAATTACAAAATATGAGTTTTGGGGATCTATCGTCCCTAACAATACTATAAAGAAACAGATGTTCCCTACTTCATAGTTCCCCACGGTTGTTTAAATGAGGTCGATCTGTGATAGAATCTATAAAACTACTGAACTAAAAATAATGAAGTGTGAATATACAAATTCTAGACGCTTATTTAAGCGTTAACTAATAGACGAAAATTCATAAGAAGATTGTTACTCAGATTTGTTTCTAGTTGACATTCATCGGTAAAGCGTGTTTGTATCATCTAGTATTAGTTGTTTCATCTGTATTTTCATATATTAAGATAAAACTGTTATAAAAGACTGGGTACTGATTAAACTGAGTCCATCAGCTACAACATAGGACTAGGCATATATATGCATCAGTCCAAGTTGCCATATCTGATTACCACATCAAGATGAACATCGGATTCATAGAATTAGTTACTTCAGTGGTGGTAATATACAAAAGAAAGATTACAATAAGGATACGGTACAGGAAAAAAAATTAGTTCGTAGAAAAAAAGATAGGAAGTGATTTCAATCTCACAGTTTAAGGGAAGACAGAGAGTGTGTACACCGACGCCATTATGATTGATTCTGAGCCATGTCACACACAGTCTCCAACCATTGGTTACGATAGTCACTCGGACCTCAACCAAGTAGTCTGCATTTAACAACATGGATCAGACTACAAGTTAGTGACTTCAAGGACTGATGCCACGTTTTGGTTTGGTCGCCCCTTACTTTTTTTCAAACATCCCCAACACCGGTTAGCATTGCACGTTGTGGTAATCGGTGTTCAGGAATACGCAACATGTGGCCCAACCATCTCAGTCGATGAAGATTCACAACCTCATCAACTGATTTACCATCATTCCCTAAAACCCTGCGTTTAACCTCACTATTACTTACCCGGTGATCCCAACAGACGCCAGCAATATTTCTAAGACATCTGTGGTCGAATACTAGTAGCTTAGAGTATCTTCTACTCTTAATGGTCATGTTTTGCTACCGTAAATTAAAACAGAACGGACTGCCACCAACTTTACTCGTCCCTTAATTGATAGACGGATATCTCGTCTTCGCCATTGGTGACGTAAGTTGGCAAAAGTCAAACGAGCTTTTTGAATCCGTGCAGAGATTTGGTCAGACACCAACCCATTAGGGCTGATCAGACTTCCAGGATAAGTGAAGTTTTCAAAGTGTTCGACTACTTCACTCCCTATCCTTAGTTCAGGTGTTGACGCAGACCAGTCCTGAGGCAACAAGTCATGAGTGTTTTTTCTAAGCTTTTGTACAAAATAACCTAAATTTACGTGTGAATTTGGATTGATTTAAGTCTGGAAAAAACAATAATGGTAGTGTAAGATCCATTTTGAAGGTTTTCTGTTTGTATGCCAAAATCCCTCCATGTATACGCTTGTAATTTGTTTCTATTGATTCCTTCAGTTGTACATGTTGTTAGTCATTTTGATTCCATTTGAGATTGTCATATTTGTATTTTATTATAATTTTTATTTTTATTACATCCTCACTGAGTTTCTATGTTTCTTCATGAACTGTATTAATGTTGTTTTAGTTGATACATAGTCTTGGTAGCAGTCATATTGATTTGTTCCTCCTTCGATTGTATTGCATGCATTGATTGTAATTGTGCATTTTTCAATTATGAATTGAAGCGCCCTTCCAGAATTAGAAACACTCTATGTTATAAAATAATCAAATATTATCTTTCGAACGAATCTGTACATGATCTATCCAGAAAGGATAGAATTACATTTGTTTGTTGCGCTTGATTTTATTAGTTTAACGTTGATGTGGTAATATTTGTTTAAGTAATAATTTACATTTATATTTATAATGAACCATTTATTTACTCAATCACCTTGTTTTGAATTCAACTAGACAATAGCGCGTATCTAAACTATCTAGACAGTTATTCTTTAGTTCAAAGCTTAGTTTGGATTCTACAGATAGATTGTCGATTACAGAACGTCAATAAATCCCTGTTTTAATTCGTATTCCGACACCATAACCTCATAGCCATCGATGAGCCATATCCAATCAAGAGATTAGATTGATAAAGAAATAAGAGATAGGAATGAGATTACAATTTTAAAGAAAACAAATAAAGAAATAGGAATAGTATATGATATGAAATACAGGTCAGTTATTAATGTATTTAAGACAAATGTTTAAACTGGTTAAAAGAGTTCTATTAACTTTTATGAGGAATGTAAAAAGAGACTGCTGGAAAGTTGTTATTGATTTTTTGTGGGACCCTTAATTTTGTCGTCATTTAGATCGAACGATGTTGTTGAAAGGGCTCTTCACTTTACTGGTCCGTGGATCTGACTCCAATTAGATCGTGTATAATCATCGACTTAAATCGCGTTAGTCAATAACGGAATTTAATAAGTCGAATAACGAGAATTGATTTGTGAATACATATATTTTGTATATAAAGTGAATGGAATAGAGAGAATAGAATGACGCAGAATGGAGATGACTGGTAAGCCGACTCCCATTTAACCAAGCGTTAATCAATAGTTATAATTACACAAAAGTAAGTTACAGATACGTGATGAGTAATGGGATAAGAAATGTACACACACCTACGCGCTCATATAAAAACAGTCAAGATTGATAAATAACAAGGTCAGAATGTGACTCAAATGGAATGAATAGAATGGGCTGTCTGGAAGCTCGAATAAGGTATATGAGTTTAACGTAATAACCGACACTACAGATTCCTTTTCTGAGATATGCATGATAATGAGCAAAGTCATAAAGTTTTATTCATCTCTAGAATGTTAACCAAGAGGTCGTTATGAACCAATAGATACCAGTTCTATGCAGCAGGTTTTCATAACACAGCACTATATCATAAACTTACTAATTCTCCATTCTTCGAACCCCATTTTAGTATCGACAATTAACGCATAATTTGAAAGTTTTTGGGATGACCCATGTTTTTGTATAGTGACATTGACCGAGTTATCACCATTGAGTTCGAACAAATATTTTCGAACCTCCGTATTACTAAAATAGTATTGACATTAGGAGTCAAAAATCCTTAGGAGACAACTATGATCAAATACAGAGAGTTACCGAACAAAACATCTCTCAATGAGTCCTTGTATCAAGAAAACTATGCTGTGCATTAAAATAAAATCTGCGCTATTCCGTTAAATATTATTCACCTATAATAAATGCCAACAGCCATATATTAAGCAAGGAAAAACTCAATATAAATATCTTGATTTCCGAAGAGATTGAAAATACCATATGACTTACATTTTCGTAATGTAATCAATATATCTTCTTCTCTGATACAATCCGATGTACAACAACATGTTATCGGCGGTATCAATTCATTATCTATATTTCTGTGATCTATAGAATGTAAATGTGGTGGATTTAGTGCAATATGTTGTTGTACATTACAAACATTATTAGAATGAATTTGTTGTTGATGATCATGATGATGATGATGACGTAAACAATAATTATAGTGTATACAATTTGATACATTACATAATCCTGATTTATCCATATTACATGTAATATCACTTGTCATTGGCGATACCGCCAATGCCATAGCATTTGCAGCGACTCTTAAACGATCATCTCGTTCTATTCCAGCCTCCATCTCAGCTAATAATAATTGACGTCTAGCTTCAGATTCACGACGTTTCGATAATAATTCAGTCATATGAAGAATTTCAGCTTCAGCATCTATTTGATGCAATGAATTGCATACACAACACTTAATCGCCTCATTATCTTGACCAATGTTATCTGGTATAATTAAATCGGATTGTTTTTTATTGTTACTATTATTATTGCTATCATACATAGGATATTGCTTCTCCTCATTTTGTTCACTTCCTTCATGACTACTATGACTACCATTTCTGGTAGTAGTCATAGTAGAGTGTGTTTGTTCCTTGGAATCCTCATTGTAACAATCATCATCAATTTTATGGTCACAGATTACTCCAGATTCACAGTTTATAGGATCCATAATATTTTCTAACTGATTGGAACTTTGAATTGAATTCATTTGGACTTTATGATTTTCACGTTCTTCTGATTTAGGAGATGTATTAAGGCTTTTAAACAAGAATTTATGTAAAAAGTATCATGATTTGGATTGTAGTAGTGATAACTTTATAATGAGAGAATATTAATAATAATAGAAACGAAACAAATAAATTACCAAATCTCATTTGGACTATCTAATCTTCATTTTATGCACACCTTTCATTTTTATGTGTTTTTTTACACTACTTATAAATGTTCAGTAGCTTTCGACGTGAAACCAAATTTTCAGGATGGTTTTTACACTAGTAAATACCAAAAATATTTTTCATCCATTATTATCCAACCAAATTACTGTTTTCAAGAATTAATTCCTTAGCTACTATTATGACTTCGAACGTAGTCAAGGACAAGGAAAATGTATCTGAGTTATATTTTTATGAAGAAAATACAGGAAATTATGCTATAGTCCATTTTATGTTTAGTAGATCTGACATCAGAAATCCGATCAATACCAATTAAATAAACTGACTGGTATAAGTTTATTTCATCCTTTAAACTATCTTGTTTTTCTGATATTTTATACTTTAGATACTGTTATAACTTTTGCGAATCATTGGAATGTCGAAAAACAGAAGAGATTAAATAGTCATTTAGGATTTCTAGTTTACTATAGATGACCATTAAAAATTTGTATGATTTCAGATCAGTAAAATATTCAATTAAGCATCATATCCTTCCTATATTGATTTTGGTAGTCTACTTCAGACGTAAAACAAGTGATGAGGATAGTTATAGTGTCAAAGTTATACTTAAGTATTACTCCTATCGAATGTACTTAAATTTTAACTGTTAATTCATATTTTGTACTGAATATGTTCGGTATTTTTGTTAATATAACTTGATAGAAGTAATGACAAAAGTCACCTATTGACCAGTTGATACTTCTTAGGAAAACAAAAGTAATGAGATTTGTGGAGATTGTAATATTTCTAACAGTTGAATCCATTTGTACTGAGTTCGAGTCCCGCATGAGGGATCGTAGTTGCGCACTTCTAAAAAGTCTCAAACTAGAACGAAACGACCCGTCCATTACTTCCAGGTTCGCAATGATGATCTAGTTTAGATCAACTTATGAATTCAACATGTAAAAAAGAAGAAGTATCTTCTGTAAAACTGACTCCTAATTTCTATCAAATTTGTCATCTGTATTTTCAGATCTGTGTGCTTTTGTTCATAAATTGTAGATTAAACTCTGTCGAGTTACATGTACTCATTTAGTTCCAAACATCGTTCATATTCTCAATTCACTTGAAGTTTATCAGTCTATCAATAATACATTATAAAACCTAATTGGATTAATATACCGTTATCTCAAGTAGTTATTAAATAAAAAATAAAAAAATGTTCTGTAATACTGTGGTGTGAGCTACTTATATTCACATAAGTAGCATATATCGACGGTCAGGTATAGAATGTATTTCAATAGAAGATCGAGAAAGAAACAATGGGAACAAAAAGTAATTAGTATGAAAATACTCGAATAGTGAAATTTGAGACGATGATCTGAGATTGGCATGAGGAACAATCAAGTTTCAGACAATTGATTGGTATTTTACACATAAACTATTTACTGTGGTGGAGAAGATTTTTAGCTCGGGTGGATGATTTTGAGCTGGATGGTTTGATCGTGGAGCTTTCATCGTTCTTCTGAACGACATCATCAGCATAAAACTTAGATAGAAATGAAGTGTTCGAATTTCTTCATATGTGTTTCATACCTTGTTCTGTGCACCTCGATGTTGATTGATTCTTATTTACTGTATAGTTCTCAGATTTCATGTTTCACTATTCAAATACATTCGATTATCCTCACTTGTATTGTTGTTTATTATAATACATTATAAAATAGAAAACTATAAATACAATGTTTTTATTGAAGTTTTACCTGGTTAAAATAGTTTTAGGTGATCGTTTCGGTGGAGTTGGTTTACGTATAATTGATTTATACAAATCTGATCGATTGAATTGATTATTCTGTTTTATATCATTACAACATGAGCATATACAATTGATAGTTGAATTTTGTTCAAAATTCATAGTAGCTTTAGTTGTTTCTATGGATGTAATTAATTGATTCAAATGATTTGAATGTAATTTATCATTATTTATGATTGTATGTTGTTGCGTTATATGTTGACAGGGATGTTTTAGTCTGGAAGCACAATTTGAATTATCATCTTTTAATTCTTCTTCTTCTTTATTCGTCGACTTACTAAAATAAAATGATGTATAATTCAATTTATTTATTACTTAAATTAAAAAGGTTTCTAATCTTATATAATTTAAAACTGTTATTAATGGATAGTGGTTAGTAGTGAAATCTAGGATGAGTATTTCGTTCTATTCTTTACTAGTCAGCTGAATGTACTTGCATTTCAGAGTTGATGTTCACTCTGAGACTTGAATCCAGTACTGTTCACTTCAAACACCATCACATTATCTACTTAGGAAGATTTAAAAACCTTTACATATCTTGGCAGTATCATTGATGAACATGATGGATCTGATGCAGATGTGAAGGCGTGGATCGGTAAAGCAAGAGCAGCATATTTACAACTGAGAAACTTCTGGAACTCTAAACAACCCTCTGTCAACCAACACCAAGGTCAGGATTTTCAATACAAATATCAAGACAGTTCTACTGTATGGGGCGGAAACCTGGAGAACTACGAAAGCAATCATCCAGAAAACACAGGTGTTTATTAACAGTTGTCTACGCAAAATACTTCAGATCCGTTGGCCGGACACTATTAGCAACAACGTACTGTGGGAGAGAACAAACCAGATCCCAGCGGAGGAAGAAATTAGGAAGAAGCGCTGGAAGTGGATAGGACACACATTGAGGAAAGCACGCAACTGCGTCACAAGACAAGCCCTCACATGGAATCCTCAAGGCCAAAGGAGGAGAGGAAGACCAAGGAACACATTACGCCGGGAAATGGAAATAGACATGAGAAAAATGAACAAGAATTGGATGGAACTAGAAAAGATGGCCCAGGACAGAGTGGGTTGGAGAATGCTGGTCGGTGGCCTATGCTCCATTGGGAGTAACAGGCGTAAGTAAGTAAGTAAGTAATGAGTCCTGATAGCCATTTGCTTGTGCAATATGATTTTCAATGAAGTTGTATTCACTGAGATAATTTGTTGAATGTTAAAGTTTAAATTGTCTTTCTAGAATAACTTCTATTGAATATTATGTGTGTTGATGATGTTGTTTGAAAGGACAATTTGAAATTTTCACTGTACTTCTCTCAACGACTCATCTAACTGATCTACAAATTTCATTATTCATCACAATACTACTAACTATAATATAAGTAAGAAGTGCTCCGTTTAACAACTTACGTCCTATGTGAACAAACTCGAAAAAGGATCTCATTATAATTTTCATATAAGAATTTTGTATGATTTATATAAACTTTGTTTACATCTGTCAAAGTTTTGTTGTTAATTAGCCTCTTATGGAGGTAATGGAACTGATGATTAGTTTTCATGAGAGAAGTTGATCTAAATTGTTATTTTCAATAACTAGAACAACATCATAAATTTATTTGAAATGTCTTTACATAAGAAAACGTTATCGGAATTTCAAGGGACAAGATCATTCAAAAAAGAAAACATGAATTTAGAAGGAAATACACCTCATTAGCCTGGAATCTGCATAGTGGATGTGATTCAGATATAAATGCGTAGATCGGCAAACCAAGAACATCATATCTACAACTGGAGAACATCTGGAATTCAAAACAACTGTCTTTCAACAAAAACCAAGGTCATAATTTTTAGTACAAGTGTCAAAACAGTTCTACTGTATGGGGTGGAAACCAGGAGAACGAAGAAAGTCATCATCCAGAACATACAAGTGTTTGTTACTAATTGTCTACACAAAACACTTCGGATCCGTTGGCCTGACACTATCAGCAACAACCTTCTGTAGGAGAGAACAAACCAGATTCTAGTGGAAGAAATCAGAGGAAGTAATCAGAGGAAGAAATCAGGAAGAAGTGCTGGAAGTGGACAGGACATACATTGAGAAAAGCACCCAACTACGTCACAAGGCACGCTCTCACATGGAATCTCTCAAGGCCACAGGGGGAGAGGAAGATCAATGAACACATTATGCCGAGAAATGGTGACAGATATGAGAAGAATGAACAACAGTTGGATGGAAGTAGAAAGGATGGATGAAGATAGAATGGGTTGAAAAATGCTGTTTGGAAGTCTATGCTCTGTTGGGAGTAACAGACGTAAATAATTAAGTAATATATAAAAATATATAATGAAATTAATGAATCAGTGATAAATGTATGTATTGTAGGCTGGAAATTCATTGTGTGGAAATGTGAAAGAATAAATGACAATCATACACCTACACCGAATTATTAACTTCAGCAGTGTTATGAATGAGATGAGTAAACCTGACATGGATTATACAATCATCATCGTCACTTCACGGATCGATCAAAATAGAATATGTTGACCATTAGATCGCAACTTATTCATTTAAATGTAACCCATTTCTTACAAATGCAAAGTCCTTCAAGTTCGATTTGTAGTGCAGCTATAACTGTACACTGATGATGAGTACCATACTAAAATGACACAGCAGTTCATTATACCATAGCTTTCGACTAATCTACAACTCAAATCAATATGTGTCGAAAATAATCTTAATTTCATACTTCTTGTTTACATTAACTCAACATTATCATGATGTCTGTCATTATATTACTGACCGCACTTCTTGAATCAAGTTGTACCAGGTACCAGATATTCTAAGTATAAGTTCAATAATAATATTATTATAAGAAACCACATAATTGATTGTTTCCTCTTCTACAGAACACAAATAGTATCGTTTTGCTTGGATATTAACACTTACGGACTTGATGGGGATTTATCTGAAACTTGGTGAATTTGTCGAGATTTCATTAAATTCTTACAATCTTTGTCGTCTGTATCTGAATCACTAGTATGTGGTGTATCATGGTTCTTTTGTTTTAATCGACGGGGTGGAGGTGGTGGTTCTATGACTGATTGATTTATTGACGTATTAAGAGCTATTGAAATAGTAGAAGGTGAATTTGTTACAGTTGTGCTTATTGTTGTAGGTGTAGGCGGTGCTGGTGCTCTGGAATTTCGATAACGTTTTTGTTTTCTATTAGGACGAGCACAATAACTGTCTGAAACTTCTTGAGACTGAGATGAAGAATTTTGAGATAATTTTGATAATACTGGTGGTGGTGGCGGTGGTGATGATGATGATGGTGATAATGATTGTAATTCGACATTTTCATCAGAGCATATTTGACTAGATGAATTACTGTACAATTCAGTTTCTTTATTATGAAGTGACTGTGCAGTGTGTAATCTGTAAAAATGAGATTTTTTTACAAAAAAAAGTCAAATTTTAAAATCTTAGCGAAGATATAACCGAAATACAATAAAAGTACATACATTATTGAATCTAGTTAACGACCCAATGCATTTACTGGTTTTTATAAAATACAATGACTCAAATGCAAACCAAATTAATGCGACATTCAAGTTCTTTGGCAGATTACTCTCTGTGTGTTTACTATGATAAAACAATAAAATAATTGCAATGAAATTCATGAATAAAGTCCGTTGACGCTTTCTTAGCCTCCAACTATTTTCGCGTGTTAACTTATACTACTTGTATATAAATTAAGTAACACGTTTCGTTTTTAATAACTTTTGAACATAATGTATATTTATGTCTCATAATAACGTTCACTTTGTTTATTGTTATAATTATATTCTCTAAACAGATTTTGTGTACTTTTGAAACCTGTTTTCCAATTGCAATAGGTCCACATTTTCTGGCTCTTAGTAGCCCTTTGTTTGTTGATGATCTGTAATAACTTACTAGTCGTTATTTGCGATATTGTATATTATAATTACTTTTCCTGTAATTCTTTGAGACATGTTTTTCTCTTCTACGAATATAAACATGTTGGCCAGAACAGATACTTCAGTATTTGAGGTTTACAATCATTTGACTTATATTTTGTAATCATAGGACAGTTTTTAGATAACTCTTGAACTTTTGAACTGTCTGTCAATTGACTTAATGTTACACAGTCAGTAAATGTATCTTATTAAAAATATAATTTAAATATAAATGGCAGTCTGTCGCTAATGGAAAAAAACCTTTTTTTTCTGAGTACTTTCTGAATGTTCACATGTTAATTGGATAAAAAGTCAAGAATCTGCATAATCGAACATTATGGCATTCAATAATGTATTGATTATCGATATGTAACACAAACATATCGACATATATTTCTAAAAATCTGTAAACATACACAACTTACATAGTGATTGGTGATAAAGATTTTGGTGAACTATGATAGACAATATCATGAAGATGTTCAGAATTACTATTATTATTATTTTGAATTGATTCCAACAAATTATTATTATTGATTTGTTTCATTGAATAAACTTTTTTACAAGGACTTTGTTGTGGTGTTGTTTTATTCGAACTAGTTAAATCACCAATATCTAAATCTTCTTCAGGTACTGTTGATAAAAATGATGTATCCATTAATAAATCATCATTATTAACATTAGTTATAATACTTATATCAGTTTTATTCAATATAGTTGATGATAATGATAATGAATTAGGAATTGATATTAAATAATCATTTAATGATGAAATAGATGATGGAAGTATCATATAAGTAGGAAATGCATTTGTTGTTAAAGATAATTGATCATTATTTAATTTTGATTGTGGCATATTAACATATTCATTCTAGTTTAGATTATTAGAAAGAAAAAAGAAAAGTTCAAATGTGTTTATTAGCAATAATAATAATAATAATAATAATAATAATAATAATAATAATAATAATGATAAATGATATAAATTAAAAATACAAATGTTGAAAAACAGAAATATATCTTCCAAGAGAAAATCAATCAGTCAGTAACAACGTAGGACCAGGCACATGTATACGCATCAGTCTAAGTTGCCATACCTCATTAGCACAACAAGATGAATATCAAATTCATAGAAGTAGTCATTTCAATGGTAGTAATGTATAAAAGAAAGATCGAATATAAGGATATAACAGAGGGAGAAAGAATTAGTTGGTAGAAAAAAAGATATGAAGCCATTTGAATCTCATAGTTTAAGGTAAGATAGAGAGTGTATACACCTACATCATTGTGATCGATTCTGAGCCATGACACCCACAATTTCTAACCATTAGTTACAATAGTCACGCGGACGCCAACCAAGTAGTCTGCATCTACTAACATGGCTAAGACAAGAAGTTAGTGACTTCAAGGACTGATGCCAAGTTTTGATTTGTTCGCACCTAACTTTCTTCCAACCAACCTCAACACTAGTCAGTATTAGGCATCGTGATAATCGATGTTCAGGCATATGTAATACGTGGCCCAACTATCTCAGTCGATGAAGATTCATAACTTCATCAACTGATTTACCATCATCATTTCCTAATACCCTGCGTCTAACGTCACTATTACTTACCCAATGTAACCTGGAGTTAACTTGGAAACAATGTAGCAGTGGATAGTTGTTTTCGTTTAGTTTGGAGTTTATCAAAACTCTTCATCTTGTTGTCATCGTTATCTAAATTCAAACTGGTCTGATTTCGGAACTCTGATGACATTGTCCGGAATGATAATAATAATGTTTTCAGAATGTTGATAAATGCTTTTAAATAAAATCATCTACCTTGAAAAACTCATTGATACTAAGAAGTATTCAGTTGAACTATTAATCTCTGTCAAAATTAGTATTTTACTTACAAAATACTTGTCATATAATCAAGATCGTGGCCAATGTTCTATATGTTTGACTAGACATACTAATTTAATTTATGTATTACAATGTACAATCACTTAATTATGAGATACACAACTGTTTAGAATACTAGATCCTCAGAAATCATTTGATAAACTTCTTATTTTTGTAATTTAATTGTGAAAAGTTTCAGTTTCTCATATGGAAGGACCTTCAACGTTCTTGTTTAGTTTTCTCTTTTGGTACGCTATTTGATAATACTTTTCAAATACATTTATGTATTTTATATATTACGCATGTGTTTTATGCTTGTTATTCGTTCTTCCGAGTTGTTTGTGGAGTTTTATATTTATCCGGCTAAATCTGGTCTTCTTCTAGTTAGTAGGTCTGGGGCGCGGAGCAACAGCTAAGCTTGTTCTGTTGTTTCATTTTTGATTTTCGTTCCGTTCACTGGTACAAAGTGACATCTTAATTTCTCGAACATAGCAACAACATGTATTGAAACTACTGATAATTATAGTTGGTTATTAAAACTGAAAAAGGTAACCTAGATTTGGAACGTGTGAATGCTGAGTCTAGTAATCAACAAGCCATCTCTCTGACCACTCTTTATGCAATGAGTAGTTATCTGATTCACATGTTAAGTTATTAGATAACTAAGTGTAAAGATTCACTATTCGATCTCGGTTACATCACGAATGAAAGCCTGAAAGACATTGACGGCAGTTCAGCCCTAATATGGAACTCCTCAAAAGTCCGAATCCACGAATTCGCTCGCAGGACTCAAACTCAGAACCTTTGGTCCCACGCGTGGACGCTTAACCTCTAGACCACTTAGCCGGCTCATAAATTCGACCTTAAAATGTACTATAATCTCCACAAATTTCCATACTGACAAGATGTACGATGTAGAAATTGAATCGTTCCATCAGTAAAATACACTGACCAGCCATTTGTTTTTACTGTTATTTTAACAAAGAAATTTAACTATCATTGCCTCAAACATTATTACTTAAGATTAAGCGACCTGGAGCCATTGACCAGAAATCCTAGACTTAAGTTTCATACTAGCTGAATGATTCTCCCCGTGGTAATCGGACAGGCTGAATTCAGCTTAATAGTCTGAGCTGATACCTCTGAGCTAACCATGATAATACTGACCTACCATTTGTTAATCAAGTAGTATTGGTCACTGTCATGTTTTTTTAGCACGACACTGCCTAAAATATCCTGATATCAAAAAAGAACACGTCGTCATGAGCAACTAATACTAAATCGATAGAATCTAATCGTCACTGAAAGGTTATGTAATTTTAAAAAAAAACCTTATACACTAAATGAATATATATAGAGAAAGCAATTGAAATAACTTGCCCGATCTACAAGTGATTGGGGTGAATAACTTCCACGTAGATTTGCAACATTTGGAGGAGTATCACTATTGAGAAACAATTGAACAACAACAAAAACAAACAAGCATTTAAAAGAGAATAATTAATACATCAATATCAACGTTCAGTAAGAAATGATTCACTCCTAACGTTTAAAATTTATTAAATAATAGTTATAGTACTTATAATGACATTAAGTAGTCACAGTTCATTTTAGATGTAAAGATACTAAGAAGCAATAATTTCATACAAATAGTTTATGATTTTGAAAAGAGCAAGAACAAAGATTCTAGCAGAATAGCATGAATTCATTTCTACTTTGAAGGTTCTCGTCAGCTGCTTACAACCTGTGATATTTAAAAATCATCATAATTACATAATGAGTGTAAATTGCTTACTGAATATTGTAAATATATACCTAATGTGAAAGAATATTCCACAACATTAATTGTGACATTTCAAAAGTGGGTTAGAAACAATTGATTACATAATGAATAAACATTGATAGGAATATAGTGAGTAGAGTTCAGTTGAAAGATTATTCATTTGAAACATAGTTAAAAAATAAAAATAAAATAAAATCAATGATGTAATAAATACAAAAACACTTTAAGGTGCAGCGAAAGAATATTTGTCACCAAGGCAACAAAAGATTAACCACCGTCTCCTTTTGTGAACACATAGGTCATGTTTTTGATGCCTGATGGCAACGGCTACAGCAAACATCAGAAGACTGGAGTTTGGCTGCTTACTAGTCACCCTAAAAAATTGTAAGGTATCTACCTGATGTTCTGTATCAAGAAGATGTTTGGTGCTTGCATTATTCAAAGTCTTTCTTTCCCTTGTTCTAAGACTTTTTGGAACATATTCAAAAGATCTAAGATACCCTCTCATGTAAGCAATTTAAACCCATTATGTAATTATGATTTTTAAATATCACAGGTTGTAAGCAGCTAACGAGAACCTATGAAATAAGAATGAATTCATGCTATTCTGTTAGAATGTTTGTTCTTGCTCTTTTCGAAGCGATAATTGTCTGGAAAGTGAACATAATTATACTCGGTAGCGATAAACATTTCCAATAATAAATTACTATATAATGATTTCAATGTACTTTATCTTGAGCAAGATTTGATGATCTTTAATAGGCTTTATATAAAGTCATGGATATGTATTGCTGAATAAATTTTAATCCGGATAACTAATCTAGCTCACTAGTGTTGTTAATAGATTTTCATCCTACACTAATCCTGTAATTTCTTAGTGAAGATTAATTGATCGGCAACTTCTGAGAGCTATTCAAAAAGAACAATATTATACATATATTCTTATTGTAACTAGATTATATATATATATATCTATAATCCTTTTATTATAGATTTTGTTTTGGACCTATAAACTATTATTATACAATTTATATTCAGTTTATTATAATTACAATTGCTCATAATCATAGTCACATTTTGGCTTGATATTGCACAAATGTTATTTTCTATTTACTATATAAAATGAATGGTAAATAAAGATTTGTCATAACTTTATCACTTTCTCATGGGTAGAAAAGTGTAATATGATGTTTAATACAATGAACATAATCCATCGAATCTTTACACATTGATGAAAAGTGTTGTTCATGTATTTACAAGCTAAATGAATGTAAGATTGAAATTTGTTACAATATTTCAATATATTTTGTTGAACACTTTTTACAACAATCGAAATTTCGATAGTAGTAAGAAGGAATTATCGTTACTGTTTCTGCAGAACTAGATTTAAATGTTGATCTAGAAGTAAAGCATTTATTGTAGGAAATAAACGTCCAGGAGGAGAACAGCTGACAGATGCATTCCAAGTAAGAACCGGAGACGGACAACGCTGTGTACTCTCTCCCTTCCTATTTTTTCCGATGGTCGACTGGATTATGAAGACTTCGACATCTGAGGGAAAACACGGCATACAATGGACAGCTCAGAATCAATTAGACGATTTGGACTTCGCAGATGACCTACTGCTACTTCATCAGTTGAGATGGATGGGATACGTGTCATGTATGTTCAACGACCGACTGCCTCGACGTACTATGTTTTATGGTGTAGGAGTACGTTGTAAGAAAGCTAGAGGCGGCCATACCAAAACATGGCGCAAATCCATGAAGTCACTGACAAAAGGACTGAGTCATATTGGTAAGTATAGACTACCTGGTCGGGATCCATGAGACGATAGCAATCAATGGTTAAAGACCTTGAATGACATGGTTGAAAATCGTTTGCAATGGTGCAGGTGCATTCACTCTTTGTGTTCTCCTAAATTCTAATCTTTTGAATTCTTCATGTCCCTTTTTTCTCTTTCCAAATTTATTTCACTGGATTATACTCCTTGAATAACATCTTCAAACCCTACTCTTTCCGATTACTGCCTATACTTTAACTACGTCTACCATTATGGGATTTGAATTGATAATTTTATCGCTGTGGTAATGTGATATGGCAACTTGAACTGATGTCCGTAAGTACGAATTTCTAATTTGTTGCTCATTGACTGACATACTATATACAATTTCAATAGCATTAATTAGAACTGCCCTTACATATGTAACCTTTATTTAACATTATCAATGAAGTTATTCTGTAAATGTTTAGGACGTATTCGACATGAAATTTGTCATTTTCAATTTTATCGATTATAACAAAACAATAATAATTTTAGATTTATAACTGTGTAAAGTCTGAATTTATTTGAATCATCATATTGATGTTTAGGACTGCAATTGATCAGTCTCTTAGCGGCATATTTGCATCCTGTGCCGATTGTCTCGATATTAAATTAATTCACAATAATTATAAACAGAGTGAGTTGATGTCTTAGAACCGAATAGATGACGTTTCATCCTATTTTGGGCTCGTCAGCTGGATGTACTCGCATACCAGAGTTAATGTTCCACCGCTAGACACTATCCGATCCATGTGTGGAGTTTAATGAAGAACTTGACAGAAAAATCGTTATCTCTAGCTTTTTCTCTTTTTAAATATCCTGTGAGAAATTTTGAAAATGTTTATTTAAACTATACACAAATTCCTGGTATTATTGAATTTACCTTGATGTCTATGAATACCTTTAGATATTTAATCAATGAATTTTGTAATGTACATTACTTACGTAATCAGTAATCATAGTAATTTTCTAGTGGTAGATCATAAATTTTATTTTTTTCAGGATTTTACTTGAGATTCAATAGTTTTATCTGAATTTTTTAATGAACTTACCATCGATTTGAATATGTAATAATGTAAATTACAATGATTACAGCCAAAAAACAAGATTATTATCAGTATACCCCAAACCGATTATATCCGTGTCGAGTAGAAACAGGTATCTACCTCAGTAAAATAGAAAATGGTCGTGCATTTTCGTGGATTGGTTAAGGTTAGACACTATCACCGTTAGATGCCAACTCAGTGGTCTAGAGGTTAGGCGTTTGCACGCGAGAGTGAATGCTTTGGGTTCGAATCCCGTGAGACAGGATCGTGGATGCACACTGCTAAAGAGTCCCACGATAGGATGAAACAGCCATCCAGTACTTGCAGGTTTTCAATGTTGGTCTAACATCAATCAATTCATGATCTCATTCAAAAACAACACTATTGTCTATGAATATCTAGATCTTTACAATTGAACTATTTCATCAATAATTGATTTTTAAAAAATATAATATAAAAATGACTTACTGATAAATAGTTACATTCCGTTCATATTGATTATCATCAATCTGTTCATAAAATTGATATTTATTTTGATTTATATTATTGTTATTCGCATTGTAATTTTCATCATGAACATCATTATTATCTGTTATCTTAAATAATCAATAATAATACACACACAAAAATTGTTACTATGACATTTTCAAAAGAAAAAAATTACAAAAAAAAATGGGTAAAATGAATTATGTAATAATTAGTGACCAATAGTGGAATATAAAACTAACATATTTTTATCCTTAGGAAAACTGACTAATAGTTTAGTATCAGAAGGGGTTTTGTGGAGATTTTAATAATTTCAACAGTTGAGATTATGAGTCGATTAAAGCTAAACCACCATGGAAAACCTGAAAGCACTGGACGACCGTTTCGTCCGATTGTTGTCTCAACTGTTGTAATAGTTTAGTAATTATATTAATGGTAGATAAGAGAATATGAAAACTATACATCAGAAGGAAATTTAAATATCGAGAGAATATTAAAATAAACTCATTGATATGTTGAATATATATTTAGATTGGTTTATGAATTCAATGATTAAAATGATTACAGTCTCTACAAATTGTCATTCTGATAATAATCATCTACTCGCTAGTGACTAACTTCAAGATGGAATTCCTGGAGTTATAATCAGAAGCAGTAACCTGTTGAGTCCAACCCGTGTCGAATAGAGACAGTCATCCACCTCAGATAATGGGTGAAGGGGTTGCGTAAAATCGTGGGTCTAGTGAAGATAGTTTACAGACGTTAAGCGTTGGAGTGTAAGACTGAATGTCTTGGGCTTGAGTCTCACGTGAGAAGTCATGGATACGCATTCCTGATGAGTCCTATACAAGAATGAAACATCTCTTCAGTGCTTCCGGCTTTTTAACGGCAGTCTAGCTTAGATTGACTAATGAATTCAATTATTAAAATTTTAAAAATGAATAACAATTTTAGGTAGAATAATTTTAAAAGTCTGACATTCTTCAGGTTGTTATCTATATGACAAATAAAGCACAGGAAATTTCAGAGCTAAATCATGATTATAAACTGACATAAATTACAACAGGTAAAATTATCTACCGCTTTAGGAGTTACGTAACGTCCATTGGATTAGACATCGTTTTATTAACTCATTTTCTCAGAATTCATTCTGTGAATTAGATACGTTCATATAGGTAAAACTTTTTATGGTAACGAAGTCTCTGTTTATAATGTAACTAATTTCTCCTGGAATAATGCAAGTTCTCAAATAATTAGAAGATGTTATTTCCTGAAATATCTATTAAATGAATGTTCACTTATCACTTCATAATTAACACTTTGTATAACCAAGGGAGGAGGTTGTTGATGTAAAAAATATAACATGAGGCTTATTTCAATTATAGTATGCTAATCAGAAAGCATGAACTTATTATACAGATTAGATAAATAAATTCAAAGCTGAAAGCACTCAAGTCACTGAGAACAACGTTTTCATGTTTACAGTTGTACTACTATTATGAATGATAGTAGTTAAAATTTTAAAAAAATAAAACAAGTAGTCCTACATAACAATTTGATCAATTACAGTATATTTCAAAATCTATGCCTTAGTGACTCATATCTGAAATTCTCGATTCTTCATATTGAAATGTCTTAAGACTGTTATCTCAGATAGACGTTTCTCAATAAGTTACTATAGGCCGATTTGACCACATTTAAAATTGAGAGAAAAGAGACTCTATGACACAGTGTTATAGTATCAAGAACGATACAATAGGTTTATTTATTCATAATAGGAAAAATTGGCTCTCTTTAGATAAGAAATTCTGAGCAATAATTTTTTCCACTAAATTGATTGTATTCACTAAACAAGTGGTCTACATAACAAAATGAATAACTATTATCTAATATTAGCTGATGTCAACAAACTATTTCTTTAATCAAAAACAGACTGAATTCAGTTGGATATTCTTTGAATACTAATAAAACATGAAAGTTGCTTCGCCACAACATGAGGTTACAGAGCATTATGCATTCACAAACCCTCAATGTATCGAACCCAAATCGCTTAAATATCAAACCATTAAGTTAGCAATCGATGGTTCAGATTTCCAACTTCAGCCTAATCACTAACCATTATCAGTTATTATCGGTGATAACTATTTCACTATTGACATTGGTGAACTTCATCTGTCAAGTCCTCTCATCAGAACTTTAGGAGTGGTATTGTTTGATTTCTAGTCGGCATCACACTGTTGTGTAGTCTTTGTCAGTATGAGGTTGTGAAGATTGTCAAATCTCATTGAAATCATGAAACGATCTGAGCAAGATCACCATTCGAAATCTAAAAACACTGGACGGCTGTTTTGATCTAGTATAGGAATCATCAGGAGTGGGCATAGATGACATCAACACTGAAGATAGAACCCAGGACCTAGGATCCCGCATGCGAATGCTTAACCTTTAAACCACTGAGTCCTCACCCAACAGTGTTAATTTCTAACGTTTTTCAACACGCAACACTGCGCTGCCACCTTCTATTGTCTTCGACGAGTCACTGCTTCACACCTGACACCGTTTAGTCCCCATGTTATAGATTTCATGGAACGTCTAGCAAAGTTACACATGTATTTGTCTAAATTGATGCAGAACTTCTAATTTTCCATAGCATTATTAGGGCGATTAATTGATTGCCAGAATTCACAATTGACTGTCAGAGATTTTCAAATACTGTTTAATATGAAAGTAATTTTTATCACAAACCAATACTAAATGAAAAAACTACAGAAAATTAGAATTTTCTAAGCATAAAATGTCTAGCATTAAACATTGAACAAAAATAAACGGTGAGTGAAATTCCTCGCTAACTTTGAACTGTCATTCATGCTGAAATAGTCACACAGAGAGAGAGAGAGAGAAGTTAGTTGAACTACCGAATAAAATGCCCAAATGTTCATTCACATATATATCAATCCATCCTTAGGGAATTGATCCACTGACCCCGATGTAGTGCACTTGACCTTATGTTCATTTTTGATTACTATCGATTGACCTTTTGAGTCCTAGATTCCACTATTAGCCATTATCCACCTTTGCTTAGAATGCATGTGAATTGAAGCAATATCGAGGCAATCCGTACGCAACGCACATATGCCAACAAGAGACTAATCAATTTCAATCGTAAATAACAATGGAAAGATTCAAGTAAACAATACCAAGTGAATTTAGATAGACATTTACAGAAGTGTAAAGCTATTGTAAGACTTTGGATTGTTTCAATTAAAATGAAGTTACTTTATAGACATGTTAAGATATGCACAGTGCTAATTTCTAACATCACCCAATATATGACACTGCACTACCATTTTCTATTGTCTTTGATGAGTAAATGATTCACATCTGACACAGTTAAGTCATCGAGTTATAAATTTCATTCAACATCTAGCGAATTAACACACATGTATCTATCTAAATTGGCTTAGAAAGTATAATCTTTCCATGGTATTATTTGGACAAGTAACTAATTGCTTGAGTTCACAATTACAATTCCCTAAATGGTAGTTTTATTCTTTATTTTATTTTTAATAAAAATGAACCTTCCATCCATAATGTATGATGATACTGTTATGTTCTAAGTTGAATAACAATGTAATTGTTAATCATTCACTTCTAATCCTGATTTAAAGTAATTATATAAGCAATAACAATTCAATATCCTCATTTTACACTCTCTATGAAATTTTGATAATCTACTACTGTGGTGCGTGTTACTTATATTGATATAAATAGTATATGACGCGAGTCAGGAATTTAATGTCTGGCAGCAGAAGATGAGAAAGATTAAGAAAGGAAGAACAAGAATAGAAAGCAGTTAGTATGGAAATGCAAGAACAACGAAATTCGAGACAATTATTGAACAGTTTGCAAATTATGTATTATAGTATGGTTTTTCTATTTTATCAAGCAAATCTGTGATTTCCTGCTGAATATGATTCGGTTGTCTCCACCCCTATTCTCCTTCACTACACTATCATTGCTGAAGTAAGTTAATGTAGTAATATAGGCAGACTCCTACAGAGAATTTCTAGTTCTTACATGATCATTCTATCCATTGCTTTTGTTTTATTGTTTTTCTAAAATGTCGGACACATTTTCAACATTAGGATTTCATTTCATTCATACAATCTATCTAATATGATCGAAGTAAATTCTAATTATAAGTGACATCAAAATAAAGAGAAATATAGAATGAAACATTAAACAAATATAGATAATTTAAATGAAATTCTTCAGTGATTTTGAACTGTCATTCATGCTGAAATACTTACAGAGAGAAGGAGAGAGAGAGAGAGAGGGAGATAGAGCGAGAGATGGGGAGGCAAGGAGAATAAGTGTCAGAGTTTTTATTTGTGTATCTGTGTGTGTGTGATGAGGATGATGATGAATACAGTCAGAAAGTTGTTTGTAAACAATGAATTAAATTGTAAAAATAATAAAGACATTTTCCTGGTTAAAATCAATCGCGGATATGATAATACCAACAACAACAAAAAAAGAGAAACATATATTTATAATGTATGATAGATTAACATAAACTATTACATTGGATAAAGTGAACTGTTAGTTAAGTTATTCATATTCAATTACAAACTATCAATTATCGACAACCGTTTGTCTATCGTAACTAATGGTTGGAGACTCAGGGTGATATCGCTCAGAATCGATCATAATAGTGTAGGTATATACACTCTCTATTTTCCCTTAAACTATGAGATTCAAATCGCTTCATATCTTTTTTTCTACCAACTAATTCTTTCTCCCTCTGTTATATCCTTATATTCGATCTTTCTTTTATACATTACTACCATTGAAATGACTACTTCTATGAATTTGATATTCATCTTGTTGTGCTAATGAGGTATGGTAACTTAGACTGATGCGCATATATGTGCCTGGTCATACGTTGTAACTGACTGACTGGCAGATTGATTATGAATTCGATTAAAACGGAATAACAATTATTATTCAGTTTGATAAAAGAAATCAATTGAACCAGGATATGAAGTTTAATTCATTATAAAATACACATTTTTTCAATCTTAATTTGTGAATAAAAACGTCATGACAA